CTACCTATCTACCTGCCTACCTACCTTCCCTACCTACCTACCTACCTACCTACCTACCTACCTACCTACCTACCTACCTATATCTACCTACCTGCCTACCATACATACATACATACATACATACATACATACATACATACATACACATATATACATACACACACACACGCATACCAGCAAACATTCAGGCTTCCAAATTACGCCTTGAGCTCACGAACCGACCTGAGGACGGATTGTGCGACGACACTTCGTGAGGGTGAGGATGAAGGCACCATGCACTGTAGGGGCCCTAATAATTACCTACATTATTTTGGGGTTCCTTATTATGTTTATAGTATAATGGTCCCCAAAACCCTATTCTCATTATTGAGGCTCCTATAGTACCTACACAGGAACCCCTTTCAGGCCTAAGTATATGGTACATGCAGCCTTTGGCGACAGGTGCAAAATGTGCCTCATTGAAGCCATAGTTGCCCATGGAGGCCCTATGTAGGGGGCTATTGTACTATGATTATGAAGTGTCCAATTACAGGTACCTGCTTTGCAGATTTACATATGGTACGTGAAAACTATTTTTTAATAAGCATTTGGATGTATACTGTGTACATATATATATATATATACACACAGCTCTCGTTATATTCGTAACTGGCAGGCGTGACTTCTGATGTTGAGTTCATCACTACTGCTTGTGATGCGCGTGCTGGCGATGGAACAGGCGGCAATTACCCTTAAGACACTGAAAGCGTCAACCCCAAAGCCACAACTCCCTAAAGCCCAGAACAGAAGACCCTCCGAGCCCCAAACCTAGCTGCTTCCTTAAGTGAAGTCTTGGAGATAAACTTTTAGGTTCCCCAGTAGTACCCTGTTGCCCTATTTTCTTTTTGGGTTCCCTTATTAAAACCAAATAGCAGGAAAAAGGGTACCCTTATTATTAAGGGGCTACTGGGGAACCTAGACCTGCCCAACCCTAAACCCAAAACCCTAAACCCTAAACCCTAAACCCTAAACCGCTTGACCCCGGATGATGGGGGCGGAACCTCGACAAAGAGGCGGCCATCTTGGCCTCACTTGCGGGCTGAGACACCGGTGGGAAAAGGAGAAGCGCAGAGTGCAACCTGTAAGCCCTACCCAAGGGCTCCTATGTAGTTCCTTTTTGGATAGTATACTATAACTCCTTACCAAAAAACCATAACAAACTCCAAAAGGAACTACATTGGAGCCTCTGGGTAAGCTCTACCCCGGGACCCCAAACCACATCCGAGAACCGTGAACCCATAGTCTTCATGCTGGTACCTGTTGTTGTCTACCTTGTCAGGGTTTAGGGTTTAGGGTTTAGGGTTTAGGGCCCTAAACCCTAAACCCTAAACCCTAAACCGGAGAGTGTAGGTCAGACCCGAAGAAAGACTGCAAGTGAGCCGTGACATGCTGTGCGGCTACCCATAGGCCCTGAAGTCGTTCCTTTTGGGGGTTCATATGTAGAATCCTATAAGCTAATCCCAGAAAGGAACTACAATAATTTAGAATCCTGTAAGGTAGTCCCAAAATTAAACAGGAACTACTATGGGGCCTACGGGTAAACATTACCCGCGAGGCGTCGAGAGACAACTCACGAACTTCGCCGTCGCACGCTGCCCTTCTCTAAACAAACCCTAAACCCCAACAGCGCAAAAACCCTAAACCGTAGGCCTCTATAAGCCCTTAAACCCGAACCTTTTTGCCCGACATGGTGAAGAAAAGTTGCCTCGAAGTTGGGCCCAATGCTTCGAGAACCCATTGGGTTGAGGTTGCGGGACTTCAAGCTTTCTGAACCTCCTAGGGTTTAGGGTTTAGGGAATCAACCTTTGTCACATTTCAGGGTTTAGGGGTTTAGGGTTTAGGGTTTAGGGTTTAGGGAATCCCGGCAACCTTTGTCACATTTCAGGGTTCGTGGTTTTTGGGACTTACGACCACTCAAAGCTGTCTCTCTCTGGGGAATTGCACTGATCCCTCTTTCAAGCCTCTGGTAAACCCGTAGTAAGCACTTAGACCCAACAGATAAAGGACCTTTGTGTAAAACCCTTCGCGATGCACCGGCCGCCAGCCGAGGGCCATCACATGAGGCACCGCTTGGATGTTTCGCTTTGTAAGAGGAGTACGGTTGATGAAATACATCCTGCATTACCCATAACGAGGGATATGCCATAATTCCCATAGTTTAGGCTCCTTAAGGTACTGCAGGATTCCGATCATCAGCAGTATGAGGTTCGTGTCTAGGTTTTAATTTACGGCCCCCAAAATCCGGAACACTAAACCCTAAGCCTACCTATAGTCTCCATTGTAGTTCCTTTTTGGGGTTACCTTAGAGGATTCTCAAAAAATATAACTGGTTAAGCCAAAAACAGGAACAACAATGGAGACCATAGGTACCCTAAACCCATAGACCCTAAGGTTGTTCCTTTTTGGGGTTCATATGTAGAATCCTATAAGGTAATCCCCAAAAGGAACTACAATAACCCTAAAAAACCCTAAACCCTGAACCCTAAACCCAGAACCCTAAACCCAAAAAAAGGAATTACAATGGGGCCTATGGGGGAAGGCTCAATCCCTGTTCAGGGTTTCAGCTGAAGGTCGATGCTTGAAGGTATCTTGAGGGTTTAGGGTTTGGGGTTTGGGGTTTAGGGTTTAGGGTTTATAGGGGTGTAGGGTTTATGGTTTAGGGTTTAGTTTGGGTTTATAAGTTTTAGGGGTTTGGGGGTTAAGGGTTTAGGGTTTAGGGGCCATGTCATTGAGGTGCTTTTGCGCTTCTACAAACGGGTTTTAATGTTTTTGGTGCCTTAAACCCTAAACCCTGAACCCTAAACCCTAAACCCTAAACCCTAAACCCTGA